GCTCTGCGCTTTGGAGTGGCGCCTGTCTAGGAAGATTGTGGCCCTGACACCAACCAGACTCAGAGTAAATGGATGCAGGATGAACAGGTATTTTTGGGTGGCTATAAAATAAACCTTAAATAATTTGGCTGAGTACTTTCGGAATTTAAATGCGACTGGAGCAACTTTAAAAATATTTCGTAAAAAAGGTTCTGACTTCTTAAAAATAAACATGACTTTAGATGCCTAATTATAATTCATTTTCTTCAGAAAAAAGTCATATCCAAAATTTGGTTGCAGCTTGAAAAATTCAGAGTAAATTTTTTTATTTTTTTATTTTTTTATTTTTTATACATTATAAATATTAAAAAAAACATTATTTACTAGGCTAATTTTTCGAAATTGTTAGCATTTAAAGCTGTATTTGCTCATCACAAAATCACACTTCCTATTTTGTATTAAGCAAAGAATATGAATAAAAAATACAACATTTCATTCGTTGTAAATAAAGAACCATGTCTGGCTTATCCCCAAAATGTTTTACACTGTTAAAACTTTTCCACCCCAACTGATGGTCGGAACAGCCTAACCCACATCTGACAATCATTAGGCGTAATAAATTTCTGCTGTCATCCATCTTAAACCCTTCCGAGGAGACTACCTTGTGGACCCCAACTCCTCCATCCGGATAACAAAGGAAAGCGATAAAAGACAAGAGTTCGCTTCCTTTAAGGCTCGATTCGGGGCCCATAAATGTGCAACATAATTCTCGGGGCCCTCAATTGGAACGATATTTTTATGCAAATTGTAATCAAGGAGCAGAGGGCACACAATCAGAATCACACACGGACATATGCCGAGCAAACAATTCGGCTCAATAAAAAGCGAACAAATGCCGCTTGGATAAGTGTAAAATTTACAATTCCAATTCCAATTCCGCATCCGTTTTCAATTTTCCAACAGTTGTGTGTGAGAGTCTTTAAAATCGAACAATGGGCTGGAAAATTGTTAAGGCTTAAGCGAGGGTCTGACAACAATGGGAATGGGGTTCGGTTAGGGACTTAAGGAACAATGCCGCAGATGTTTAACACATATTTTGCACAACTACATAAGCCGTTGATTTTGACGCCCAATCAAATTAAAAATCTTTAATGCCATTCGATTCCAATATTTTCTTCGCGGGGTAGGTTGTTTTGCCATCTCAAACAGCGGGATTCTAATGAAGCCATTAAGGGTTGCTAGTTTCCAGGTTTTACGTCTTGTCATGTGTGTGGTTAACTTTCGGCAAACACAGAGGTCCATAAATGTTGTCGTTCCAGCCGGCAAATGAATAAATTATCAACTATGTGAGGTAGCAAAAGTCCTTCGGCCTCATCTCGTCCGGGTAGTTGACTTCCCAGCTAGAGTGTGCTCTAATTGCAGCTCCTTGTCGTCGGGCCATTAGAACCCGGCTCTAATGGCTCTCATTGAGGGGGCGGTGGGTGGTGGGTGGTTGGCTGGTGTTCCGGTAACTTAAAGTTGCCATAAGCCGCAGCAACATTAGCGCATAAAAAAGGCATTTGTAAGACATGAAAGGTACTCAGTCAAGCGAGTTGGGGGCGGCAGGTGGCATTCATCTCCGCCCACCGAGTCCAATGACACAATAAAGGCAGTGAATATGGAATCACGAAATAAATATACCCTCTAAGTGGGAACCACCTCGAAAAGATTACTTGCCTACATTGAAACTTTATTCTTACAATCTTGAGAATGGTTGCATGAAAAAACGTGTTATGATATATTAAAAATGTATTTATTTTTAACAGAATTCACTTCGATTGTTTTTAGTAGAGGTTGTATTTGTAACAACAACCAATATTGTTAGTAAAATGGTAAATCACAGAAACCTGTTCTAGAAAATTGCTAAAATTACAAAATAAATATAGAAGTAAATACCCATAGCAAACAATATCATTTAATCGGCATTTATTATTGCATTTTTAGAATAGTTGCAAGCAAATATATGTTTTAATAAGTGAAAAATTATAGTATTACACATTTTACTTTCTGAAATGGTAAAATTCCTATTTATGAATACTATAAGAGTGCTGTAGCCTGTTGATTACACGTCCAGGCACATCATACCCTTCGATTGCAAGGCAACGGGGTACAAAAAAGGAAGACAAATCAATGCAGGTGTCACAAATGTCAGACGACAGCTTTTGGATCCGTCCCTTTGCCGAGAGGATATTAATGTCGCCAAGTGAATTGATGATGCCGATTGCTGTTGTCCCTGGGCATAAGCCGATTTGCCATCTTATCACAGGCCCCGTCGCTCCACTCGACTCGACTCCGTTAGTATAAAGTAAATCCAACTCCGTCTCCGACGCCCCAAAACGATTCCGATTTCAATCTCTGAGGCGAGCTTTCATAATGGGACTTCACCTCCGCCGATTGACAGGCATAATAAATCATGTGTTATAGTATTAATCAAGCTGCTGGCTTCTGGTTGCTCTTCTGATTGCCGAGCCTGCCTTTGTTGTCGGGGTAATCGCTTGACATTTATTGCAGTTACCGCCCGGATATGCCAACTTTAAACCGACTTTAAGTTGTCCTTCGCAAAGTGTCCTTTAATTGCGCCTATTTTGTCTGTTGCCTCTTGCCTTTGCAGTCGTTTTGCCAGGCATTGTTTCTCTAATTGCTATTTGTCGCCAGTGTCCCATACAAGTGGCCGGCCCACTTCGTCCCGATTTGCCGCCAAACTCTTCTGTCTGGCCGTCACATTAAGAACTTGTAAAGTTAAATTAAGTGTTTCGTCTAGTAAGCGGAAAAAAGCAAATGGCAGCAAAGGCGCCAAGATGCTGCAGAACTTTCCAAAAGGATAATTGCGGAGGCGGAAAGGTAGTTTTAAGTTCAGCCTGATATATATGTTGAACAATGGGAGCTATCTGCCTTTACAGAGTATTATTTTACACCATGTTCAGGATTTCTTTGAGCGACAACAACTAGTTAAATTGAAAATACATCGAAGGTCAAATGCTAAAATAGAATATTTACAAGCTAAAATGTCTATATCAGCAAATTGGTTAAATGTTTGACAAAATTATTATTTTGAATTAATTCTTCGAACATTTTAAATGTTTCAGATATAATAGGTTTTAAATTTAACAAGCTATTTTTGTTTTAATTGAATAAATATAGTTTGCAGAGAATTACAAACAAAACTTCGTAAACATAAATAAGCTTTCACACATTTTCTGCCAAAATTCTAGCTAACATAATAATCTGACACTCTTACCTCCTAAATTATTTTGATAGTTAAAAACTATTCTGGCCAAACACTGTTTGCCTCAATTACAATGCTACTTAAACCCTAAAACATTGGCAAACAAAGTTTTAAACCACCCACGCAATTTGCGTGGCCTCGTTTCACCTACACCGCATTGCTGGCAATATTATTTAATTCGCAGACAGTTAATTGTAATGCAATTAAGGGATTAGCTGAGAATGCCATTAGGCTTTATTGTTCATACGGACAGGGCACAAATGAATTGGGAGCTGCGATGAATAAATTCGCAGATAGCTGCTCATTGCTCTAAAAGATTCATTTTAATGCCAAAGCACTACAATAACTCAAACCAAAACGAGAGTGGAATGCATTTTTCAATTATTCAAATGGCAGCCAACAAATCTTAAGTGTTTACACGATTTGCCTAAGAGGCAGCCGTGCCGCTGAGCAATTTAATGTAATTGCTATCGATGAGGCTGGAGGACCTCAAAAGCCGAATCCCAAATATAGAAAACAACGCCGGCAGCCAGGACAACTTGTGGGACGTCCATACGGTCCATTTAAATAAACCAAATGTTTATTTTACCCAACTAGTTTCATTTCTTTTTCTCCATCTTTTCTCATTTTGTTTTCTTTTTTGTTGGCTCAAAATAAATGTCCCTGCATTTTATTTTGCTTTCCATTTGATTTGATTTTTAGCCTAGGTCTATCTGCGACTGTCCTCTCGGGAGTTTCTTTTCCAGCTGATATCAGCAAAAATCGCAAATCAAATAAAGCAAATTGAATAAGAGACAAGTGCCACGCCTCCGCTGGCGACTGAACTACGTATCCGGGGCGTGGGCGTACATGGAGGCGGGGGCGTGGCAACGGTTCTTTTGGTACAAAATTAGTTGCTAGTTCCGTTCGGCCAACGTTGTTGTAAATGCGAGGACAGAAATCAAAATGTTCGCATAAAAGAATTATCTGTGCTTAAGTTAGATTATCCGTGGGCCATAGAATCCAATTGGCAATTGAATGGAAAGATGTCTCAGATTCGATTTGCCAACTTTATTTTCCTGCCCATCGGTTTGCTACCACCCCCCTACCCCCTCCCTCCCGATTTGAAGTTCGAGTGCCACTTGAAAGTTGCTCAACCCCAGTATCTCTGCCTCCGAATGCATTTCCTTTTTATCGAATTTCATTTGATTTTCTTTTGGGCTTAGGCAACAACAAAGCTCATTCGAATGCTGTGGGTTTCGTTTTTTGGGGGCTGGCAAGGTTTTAGGGTTAGACAACTGTTATGGCAGCCATAAGCCAGAAGGTGGTTGAGCCCATTAAAGTTGTTAGCCATGGAGCCACCCAATGCGATTGTGGCGACTCTGCAAGGCTGATAGGACCTACATTGTTCGGAGCCCGTAAATCAACCCGTTCATTGTATTCTTTTATCTTTCCATTTTGGGGTTGGAGCTTCATAACCCTGTCTTTTAGTGTTGTTAATATTTAGGATAATTGGATTTTTTTAAATCTTAAATCACGTTTTCTTAGCCGCATGGTAAGCTCAAAATAGGATGAAAATGAGAAAACATGTAAAACATTGCAGTGTAAAGCTTTATTTTAGCTTAGCCCAAAGACGACAACGACGGTCTTAGTTCATAAAATATATCAGACTATTACAACATTTTCAAACTCATTAACTTTACAGTTTACATATGTAAGGTGTTTAAGTAGTTATTTAAATCAACCCATTTCCCTTTCCCACAAAAAACAAGCGCCATTAGTAAAAGCATTTAAAACAATTTATTCATGCATCACTAAAAAACATATCTGAATTCCAGTTAACACAAACTTCCTGCCCCAACTTTATCGCCTTTGGTGGCCTCCAATTCCTGGAGGACAGACGAAAGGAGTCTGATTTCGCGCATGGCAAAGCTCAGGATGTGATCGATCTCGTAGCTGTGATAGCTGGGCACAATGTCTGTGGAGAGATAGTGTCTGGATATCCAATTAGGTTAAAGGATTTTCAGGACTCACCGCGGCGCTTGCAGAGCATGCGGTACAGGATCTGGATGCCGTCGAACATGCGCTCCTTGTCGAGATTGTAGTACGAGGTGGTATCCTTGCAGGTGCTCAATATCTTCTCCCACTTGAGACAAGTGGCCCGCGAGTTGACATAGGATCGGTCCAGTCGGGCCAGATCGTTTTTGAGACCCAAGACGGTCAGAGCCGCCTCACTGGTGATCTGGACCATACGCTGGCGCATCTCCTCGATCTCGTTAAGTTTCTGGGCCTCCAACTTGGTTATCTCCACTTGGGCCAGCACTGCAAGAGGGGATTAGTCAACGCAAATCGAAAAGGAAAGTACCAAGAACTCACTCAGAGCATCGCATCGGTCGATGCAGTCCTTGGTGGAGATAAAAATGTCGGAAACCTTGACCACCTCCTCCAGGACCCTTTCGTATGGCTGGAATTGGGCCACCGTGGCCTTGAGGGCGTTGCGGAAGGTGCCCAGTTCGGCAATGGAGGTCTTGAACTCGTCTATCTCCCTGGTGACCTCCTCGTGGAGAACCGACTCCTCGCGAATCGACTTGTCCGCACTGCGCTTCTTGTCCGCACAATCCTTGATAAAACCATTGACCTCGACGAAGCGTTTGCGCAGGCGCTCCTGAATTTTGTACATCTTACGGATGCGCTGCACATTCAATGCCGTCTGCCGTTTGGCATCCTTCAGCAACTGCATCTGCACCTGCTTCATGGCATCGTGCTCTCGCAAATTGGCTATATACAGCATTTCAATGGTATCCCCAGCCGAATCCCAATTCGGTGGTTTTCTAGAGCATCCCCATTCAATGAGTTATTATAATTTTACCTTCGAGATCTTACCTTACACGAAAAATTCATCCTGCTGACGTGAGACGCGATAGTCATCGATGGCCACCTCTGGGTTAAGGTCCAGGTCGCCAATCACATCGGTCTTTATGGTGGGCTTACGGCGCGGCATCTTGACTTTTTTTTAAATAGTCTTTTTAAAATATTTATGGGTAAATATTTAGGAATATATGTTAGGCAACGTTGTGTCGAAGAGGTTTGGAGTTAAACTGAACGTTTGAAAGCAGGCAGCAAAGTCAGTGCTTTTATGAATACAATTCGCTTCGCAAATTTATATAAAAACACTATAGATTACAAAAAATACATTTCCCAAGGTCAACATAGAATTGATTGTATAGGTCCTCAGCTGTTGTGCGTCTTACTTTAACAAAGTTACAACAAAAAACGCTTAAAAATGTGTTTTTAAATATAATTTTTGTTATGGCAGAAATACGGAAAAAGCCAGCTTGTTTTCTGGATTTTTGATCAAAACCTTTGGAATTAATGGTCAGATCTGGAACTGTCATACCTCGTTGAACTCGTTACAAAATTACCAATCCATTCGTACTCTCAGCTAAAAAATTTAATTTTGGGCCAATTTTGGCAAAAAATCAAGTGTTACCCCTTATGAAAATTGCGAAAATCGATGAAAATTTTTTTTTCCCAAATCAACCCAGATTTGATAGTATAGGTTCTCAGCTGCACAAAACAGTTATTCTTTTGGCTGAGAGTCGAATTTCGGTAAAGTTATAACTAAAAAACTTTAATTTTATGACTAAAACCCAAAAAATGATCACCCAATTTTTTGAGTTTTTTAATCAAAACACTTGGAAATAATGGTCAAAAGTTGGAGTGTCATACCTCGTTAAATTCGTTATAAAATTTCCAATCAACTGGCATTTACAGCTAAAAAATTTAATTTTTGGCCATTTTTGGCAAAAAATCAAGTGTTACCCCTTATAAAAAATGCCAAATCTGATGAAAAAACAAATTTCCCCAAATCAAACTGAAATTGAAAGTTTGGGTTCTCAGCTGCAGAAAACAGTAATTCTTTTGGCTGTGCGTCTTATTTTGGAAAAGTTACAACAAAAACCCTGGTGTTAAAACAAATATTTGATGGCCAAAATCCGAAAAAAAAGAAGATCGATTTTTCGGTTTTTCGATCAAAACCATTGGAAATAATGGAATGTCATACATCGTTGGATTCGTTGGAAACTTATAGATGTAAAGAAAAAATAAATTAATTTTTGGCAGTGAACATCGTCACTATAACAACGAGCGAAAACAGTTTTCCTGGTTTTCGCACGCCTACACAACTATTGCCATAGTGATTGGGGAACCTCCTGGAAACCAATGTTATTTTATGTCACCCAAATACAAATCATGTTCCAAGTAGGTCTTGTTAATTTTTTATTACAAAACAATAACACATTCCGAAAAGTAAACACAAAGCACACGCAGCTACAAAAAGCACAATCCGCAGTAACGCGGTAACCAAACCAAAAAGAAAAAGGAAAAAAACTAAACCAAACTTACACTCCAAGCTTTTTGTTCCGGTCAAGGGATCCAAGATGCCACGCGTGAAGCCCACCAAGAAGCTCGATGTCCTGGGAAATCTGGACCTGCGGCCCGAGGATGCGGTGGGCGACTATATCAGTTCAAAGCAGCAGAAGAAATTCTTCGTGTGAGTACCAAATGGGTAGCAAAAATTGGCAACTTACAGAAGAGTTTTCATTCCGCGATGTTAAAGATATTATTTAAGAAATTTTTTTAAGCAGAATAATTTTAAGAATTTTAATATCGGAAATTCATATGAATAATTTGAAGACTTTCATGATACTTTCAATTAGTGTTTTTATAAAGTTAATATAAATCCGTAATCTTGTTTTTGTAGGATTCCACCGAACTCAGACTCCGCGGGCGACTCCATCGAGTTGATTTTCGTGAACAATCTTCGCGAACACGATGCCATGCTTAAGTTGCAGGACGAGATGCTGTCCAATGCCAAGCGGCAGACCAAGGTGAACTCCACCAGGGTGAAGAACATGTACAAGATCCAGGAGCGGCTGAGGCGGCGCTTCATCGAGGTGAACAGCTTCATCAAGGACTGCGCGGACAAGAAGCGAGCCGCCGAGAAGACCGCCCAAGGGGAGAGCCTCTACCACAAGGAGCTCGGCGAGGGCATTGAGAGCTTCAAGGGGGAGATCGGGGAGCTCAAGGCCTTTCGGGAGGCTCTCAAGGCCACCGTCCACGAGTTCCAGCCCTACGAGAAGGTGCTCGACGAGGTGGTGAAGGTATCCAGCATATTCGTATCCCCGAAGGACTGCATCGACCGCTGTGATGCATTAAGTAAGCATTACATTACATTAATAAACTTGATATGACAATCAACATTAATAAGAATTTATTTTAAATTTTACAACATTTTCAAGTTAGACTTTATAAAATAAACTCGATCTTTAAGTTCTTAAAGCTTATAACATTATTATTCCATATACAAAAGTTTTCGAATGTATGTTAGCCATAAAGCAAACCAGAATTAGTTACCTTTAATGTTTAAAATATTTAATAATTTAATATATTATTAGTGCTAGCTCAAGTGGAGATCAACAAACTGGAGCATCAAAAATTGATGGAGATTGAGAGTATGCGGCAGCGTATAGTACAGATTACTAACGAAGCGGCTCTGACTGTGTTGGGCCTCAAGAATGATCTAGCCAGGCTCGAAAGATCTTACAACGAGTCCAGAGTTCAGTGTCTCAGGTGGGAGAAGATCTTGGCGAACACCAAGGATGTAATTAACAACTGTTATATGGACAAGGAACGCACGTTAGAGGCGATTAACAACCTTCATCGGATTCTTTGCCGTCGACGAGGTGAGCACCTAAACTTATGTTATTTATCTAAAAAAAAAAAAACATTTTTTATACAAAATTGATTTACTATAAATATATTTATTGTCTATAGATATAACTTCGTCCTCTGCTCGCGGTGACTTAGCCAAAACGTTGGATTCCATCAAAAACGAAGTGGAGATATTGACTGGTGTTCTGAAGCAGATCGAATCATCCGACTCCGCTGTAAAAATGGGTGAAGTAAGAGATATAACCCTCTGCTAGTCTAAAGAAAAAATTCCGAGTATTCAAATAAAAACTTAAATAATTATTAAAGCCAATAAAAATATTTATGCAATGTAATATTGAAAGTTAATAAGTTCTTAAGTGTTTATGGATAAACTAATCTATACTATTTTACGAGACAATTTTGCTTAATTGAGACTTAAGCAAGAAGCTTAAATATTTCTATGTGTTATTGTAGATGGTTTTTATGTGAGCTGCGTCTGCGCTTGTAGCAGTTATTAATTGTCCTACGCTCTGCATTCGGTTGTTAATGCCACTTTCTAATTGCTTTTACCTCATAAATCTTTTTCCACAACTTCCTCAATGCTATTGTCCGAGTGCAGGGTCCCAAAGTGGATCCTGGTCCGGCTTTCGTCGCGTCCTGGCTCTGCAGTCATCATAAGTCACCAAATTGTCGGACACTCAAGACAAATGTGACACTGGCTTATTTAATTAGAGAACGGCAGACGGGATGAGAAAGAAGTACTTAAGCACCAGAGTCTGTGCATCAATTGGACATTTAGCGCTAACTGCGCCAACTTCGCTTGACGGCTTTTTAATTACGTCAGCCCGGGAAAATGTTCCTCTTTCTCCATTCGCTGCATGACAATTAGCCGGTCTAAAAAAAAAGAGAGAATGCCCTAGTCAATTGGCAATTTCTTTCTATTTTTCAGTTTTCAGTTGGCAAAAAACTTTTTTAATTACCACTGAAAAGAGACGTTGACAAAAAAACACTGGCCAACAATTCTGCCGACGGCTCTGATTTTCAATTATTTATTGACAGGAGTCTCGATTCGTCGTTTAACCTGTCCAACTCTTGACACGACGACCTCCGCACTCTGAACAAATGCACAAGAAAGGTTTCGGTTCAACACTTTTGCGGAAATGCAACTTTAGTGTCAGATAGCAGTCGGTTTTGGCTTAAATAATTATTGTGAAAATGTACAAAAGTTTTTAAAAAGCATTTTAAATACACACAAGCTACAAAAACATTAGCTCTTTTAATAAGTTTTAAGTAAAGTTAAGAGTGGCAAATATTAATAAGCACAGGAGGCAAAAACTCAACACCACAAATTATCGGATTGATAAATGCCCTGCGGCCAGAAATAAATTTGAAGTTTTCCAGAAACATGCGATCTGGCAAGATGTTTCTGGGCCCCCAACTCAATAGGTCTTTGACATCTTTATGCTTCTGGTCGTGTTTCAGATACCCACTCTCCAAAGACATTTCCGCTCTGGTTGGTCTTTCGATTGGGACCCCGAAAAGGTGTAAGAACTCGGCCGAAGTTAATGTATGGAAACATTTTAATTAATGCTGACAGCTGAAAATGTCGCGGCCAGCTTTTGTTGTGTAAATTTCATCGACTCGAGGCGTTGGACTTTATAATTATGATTGGATTTCGTTGCACGTTGCCCGTTGCCCGTTCCTATTTCTTTCTATTTTCTTTTTCAATTTGCCTTACCCGTTTCCCCATTGAGCAGCACGTCAGTAAATTAATCCGCTTAGCCGTCGCATATTCCTATGCCCCTTGGGGTCCACCAGACTAGACAACTAACAGACCCACAGAACCAAACCCGATGAATCAGATTTGGAGTAGGAGAAACCCGCCAGACGTTTGACCAGACGGTTAAGCCTTAATCCTTGATAGTTGTTGGCCCTCGAACTTTTCTAGGGTTTCCACTCGGGCGTTTTTTCCAGGTGTCAAGGTAAATGAATGGGACAATGGGGAGTTGGGGCTCCACTTGCCCGAGGAGCTAATTAATGGGTTCAATTGTTCCCTTAATGCATGACAAATAAATTAAGATAAGCATTAATTGGAGATTATTCAAAGATTAATGCGCTGGGAAAATTAATTTCAAACAAATCACTGAAAAATAGATGGAAATAAAGTGTTTATCTACAAGAAATGTCAAAATACATTGTAAATTATTAGATTCAGTGTGAAATTGTGCGGGAATGATTATTAATTGTACTAATTGTTTGCTGATAAGAAATAATTATAAAATAAAGGAACTTAATTCTCCGACTGAAGAGAATATAAACAATATTAACAAGGAAATGGAATATATTGGTTTTTTTGTTTCCGTTTATAATATCTGTTTGAAATATTCAGAAATAAGCATTTAAGCCATTTATTAAATTTAAAACTAAAATCTCAACATTTGGTTCATTGCGTGCTAGCGATGGAGCTGAAAACTAATTATAATTTTATGTTCTTTCTACGTTAGCTGGGAGTCAGATGCTTGGAATATATCTTATAGATAAACTATCAGTATAATCTCACCAACTTTGTAATAGGAACAGTATTGTGAGATAATAAATAATTCAGCTCGGAGACCATTAAATCGATGGACTTGAAAGAGGAGTCACCTCAATGCCAACTGAAACTATTGACCCTGGATATAACCTTTGCTGTGCCCGTCGGCCAAAACAAGTGGACTGCACTCCTGACCAGTCCAGCAGGAGCAGCAACAATTTTCATTGTAATAACAATATATAACACACAAATTTGAATAACAAATTAACTGGCGCACACACATGGGCACATGGTGACATTCGGGAAGTCTTTGGCTACAGGACCAGTCCTTCTCCTTGTGGCGCGAGACTGGAAATAGCCATTCGACTTGGGCTCCTGTGCGAGCCCACAAACAACACACAACATGCAATATAATTGAATGCCTGCAGGATGTATAGACACATGTGTGTGTATGCGCCATACACAATATAGCAGCAGGCATGGTAGCCGCAAAATATTTGCTTATGTGGCCCAAACCAAGCCAGACCAGACCAAACCCGACTAGCAGAGTTAGAGCCGGGCCCAAACAGCTTTCGACCAACAGCCAAATGTGACTTTGCAGCGTCAACGTCAATGTTGCATAAATCAACACACCGACGATGGCGCTGCCAATTTTGTGGCTCTATATCCGCCCCCGCAGATACCCCTCCGCCCCACCGTCGACTTGATTGAATATTTCAAGCCATGCATCTTTAATAATGCGCCACGAAGGCGATGTCGATGTCGATGTCGATGACGATGACGTCGCCTCGGGCCAGTTTTCATGGCACCGGCCATGCAAATGCAAATGTGCAAAATGCAAAATGCAAAGTGCACAGTAGCCGTCGCCACACAGCCGAGGATGTAATTTGGGCGTTTTTTCCTTCTTCCTACACTAAACTGACCGATGTCTAAGTCAGCCGTCCCGGTTCACGGAGCTAGAAACGCCTTCTAATCAAACTACGTAGACTTGACTTTTATTTTCTACGTGCTGCGGTATACTCTAGCGAGGGTATATAAATATTTTAAATAAGGTCTGCCTTTGGTTGAGATAAAGTATTTTGAAAGCATTTTAGCTCATCAAACTTTGTAGATTAAATAATCTCTAAACAACATTATTAATTTATCAACAGAAGTTTTAACTAACATCACAAAATTTGATGAGATCAATACATGGTATTTTAATATACTTAATTTTAAATTGTTTAAACTACGCTAATCTTTATTGGTAGATTTGTTTGTAATTAAATAACTCATATAACCTTTTGCTTAATATTTAAATAAATATAAAATGATCAAATATCGACAAGATTTATATATTGTTCAAACAAATCTAAAGCTTGATAACATTTAAACAGGTCGATATTAAAAAGGGAACTGTCTGTAGCTAAGGTACGTTCTTATATAATGAAAATTACTATACAATTATTGCTTAAGACTCATATTTATTTATAGCAATTTTAAATTTAGAAAAACATATATATTTTTATTTTAGCTAGCAAGACAACTTTCAACTATTTACTTTTAGATATAGTATTTCTTTTTTTACAATTTGTTAGACCTATAAGGGTAGGCGTTCGTTTTTCTACAGTCGCTGTCTTTTTGCCGCCCAAGAATAACTTTAAAATGTGAATTGAGCCTGGGTCTCGGTTAAGGTTTCCTTTTCGGTTTCGGTCTGGCAACATCTAATTGAATCCGACCGCATCAAGATGAAGTTCGTCTTTGGCGACAGTTTTGTTTGGGGTTTCCCCTCCCTGGGCCCTTTTGGGTCCATCTACTTTGTGTGTGTTTAGTTGACCGCAGTCAAAAATAGCTTTGAAAAACTTTGGCTGGCAAAGTCTCGCCTGCGGAACAGCTCCACTCGGTCCCTTCGAGAAAGATGATGCGATGCCGGGTGGATTTTCGGTTGCTGGCATCTTTGTCAAAGTCAAAAGTTTGTCATAGTTCAAGTTAATGTTCTGTGACTTTTCGCAGTTTTCTTTTCGCCCAGGCAAATGAACCATGTTTCGGATGATGTATTGATGTATTGCCAACAGAGGAATAAAGATAAACTTTTAATAAGTTTGTCAATTGCTGGCATAGATTGCATAATGTCGGGTTGAATAACTTTCGTGGCTAATAGACAACTATTGTGTAGGGAGAACCTGAACCGCGGGGCCCTATCCTACCTACAACTTTTCAGTTAATTAAAATGTTCCATAAAAATCAGGTATTGCGGAGGCTAATGCTATTATTTTAGCTACTCGTTGCGTATACGCCATGTTGCAGTCGACTAAGACGGCCACCCAATCGGCTTAGTTCGGCTCAGCCCGGACTACGACTAGTGGTCTATCTCCAAGATCCAACAATGGGTGAATTTAATTACGCCACTGCTGTGTATTGTTCACCATGGCCTAGGTGAGCAAGCAACATGAGACGCATTACACATACGCAACGTTGTCCGACCATTGTGGCCTTTCCCCACTGGGGCTAACCACAGGAAATTAATTTGGTGTCTGTGCATTTTATTCCCAGTAAAATGCACTGGGGGTCCGCAGACAACAAGTCCTAATCCCACTTGGAACAGGGTGGGCCAGCCACTAAGGTTGCTTTAAGGCGCGTTGTTCTCAAGTTGGTTTTGACAATGTTAACTTAACATGCAACCTTAAAGCCCGGATTTTTATAGTTAAACATGAGCAAAAAATAATTCGCATATCGCTATTACAATCTGATGTTCATGTCGAGCTAAGTTCTCGATAGATACAACTCGCTTTAATATAAAATCCCATCAAAAATGAATAAGATAATCAGAGCCACTGGCAT